AAGTCAAGTCAAATATATATATATATATATAAAATCTTCCCGGTTACAAGTAAGTTAAGTAAAGTATAAAAAATCTTCCCGGTTACAAGTAAGTCAAGTCAAATATATATATATATATATAAAATCTTCCCGGTTACAAGTAAGTTAAGTAAAGTATAAAAAATCTTCCCGGTTACAAGTAAGTTAAATAAAGTATAAAAAATCTTCCCGGTTACAAGTAAGTCAAGTCAAATAAAAATTAAAGCTAGTACCAGATGAATACAGATTTTTAAATGAAAAAAAGATAAAACAACTTCATTCTAACATAAGTCTAGTTTCTATTGTTTGTTTACAGAACAGTTTTTAATTCAACTTTAGTATCTCTCACAAAGAAAGTATGACTAATAATGAAGTTTTATACATTTTTAACAATAAAAAGTTATTTACTAAATTAATTATATTGTTCTGAACTTGTTAAGTAAAACGGGAAATATTTTAACATAGGTAGTCAAACTACGGTTTGGTAGCCACATGTAGTTGACGGTTCAGTCTTATGATAGAGGTTAACGTATCATTCAAAGTCTAAATATAAACTATGGTTTGGTAGCTACATGTAGTTGACGGTCCAGTCTTATGAGAGAGGTTAACGTATCATTCAAAGTCCAGATATAAACTATGGTTTGGTAGCCACATGTAGTTGACGGTTCAGTCTTATGAGAGAGGTTAACGTATCATTCAAAGTCCAGATATAAACTATGGTTTGGTAGCCACATGCAGTTAACGGTCCAGTCTTATGAGAGAGGTTAACGTATCATTCAAAGTCTAAATATAAACTATGGTTTGGTAGCCACATGCAGTTGACGGTCCAGTCTTATGAGAGAGGTTAACGTATCATTCAAAGTCCAGATATAAACTATGGTTTGGTAGCCACATGTAGTTGACGGTTCAGTCTTATGAGAGAGGTTAACGTATCATTCAAAGTCCAGATATAAACTATGGTTTGGTAGCCACATGTAGTTGACGGTTCAGTCTTATGAGAGAGGTTAACGTATCATTCAAAGTCCAGATATAAACTATGGTTTGGTAGCCACATGCAGTTGACGGTCCAGCATTATGAGAGGTTAATCTATCGCTCAAAGTGCAAATAATAACTATGGTTTTGTAGCTACATGCAGTTGACGGTTCAGACTTGATTGCATCCAACCAACAATGTGAAGATACATAACTCGCTGCTAAGTCGTATCCAACCAAGAATATCAAGATACGTAACTCGTAGTTAAGTTGTATCCAACCAAGAATATCAAGATACGTAACTCGTAGTTAGGTTGCATACAACCAAGAATATCAAGATACGTAACTCGTTGCTAAGTTGTATCCAACCAAGAATATCAAGATACGTAACTCGTTGCTAAGTTGTATCCAACCAAGAATATCAAGATACGTAACTCGTAGTTAAGTTGTATCCAACCAAGAATATCAAGATACGTAACTCGTAGTTAAGTTGTATCCAACCAAGAATATCAAGATACGTAACTCGTTGCTAAGTTGTATCCAACCAACAATGTGAGAATACGTAACTTGTAGTTAGGTTGCATACAACCAAGAATATCATGATACGTAACTCGTTGCTAAGTTGTATCCAACCAACAATGTGAAGATACGTAACTCGTAGTTAGGTTGCATACAACCAAGAATATCAAGATAAGTAACTCGCTGCTAAATTGCATCCAACCAGCAATGTCAAGATACGTAACTCGTTGCTAAGTTGTATCCAACCAGCAATGTCAAGATACGTAACTCGTTGCTAAGTTTCCAACCAAAAATAACAAAAATATGCGAGTATTTTGCCTGAAATGAACGTCATTTACGTGTATTTATGACTCACCATTTTTGTTTTCTAATGATTTTTTTTTTCTCTTTACTTACTTACTTGTTATAATAATATTTATATGTTTCTTACTAACGTAACGTACAGAATTTTCTTTTGTTTTTGTTTGACAAAGAAATCAAAATTTACAACTGTAAGCGGTTACAACGGCCAATGTTTCGGATTTCTAGTGTTATATGAAAGCAGTTCCATCCATGAGGTGAGCACAGCGCAGATAGCCAACTGTGCTGCTTTTTTTTTATGAAAAAACAAAATGTTTCAAACTGTAAATATGTTAAAACATACGTTTACATTAAAGTTATTGAAAAATCTGTGGAATCTGTAAAAATAAGAATACAGAGAAAAAAATATAAAGATTACGGGAAAGGAGAGATTTGAATCAATTTTCGGAGAGTCTTTTAGATTGCTTCTTTAAGATTTGTTTTTTTTTGGGGGGGGGGGCTTTAAACGCTTGTAAAATATATGTCCAATTAGATATGATCTTATATAAAAAAAAACAAGCAAGTTTACATGTGTACATTCCAGACAAAAAAAAATGTATTTTTATTCACTTAAAATAAAAACTAGCGGTTTGAAGAGATGCACATAGACACCAATAAAAGAGGCTTAACTCCTTAAACTTGAAAAGTTTGCATCATAAAACTTTGCTTGCTCAAAAGCCCAAAACTTTTGCTGAAAGAACATGTTTTGAATTGCAAAATTTCTTTTTTTTTTTGGAGGGGGGAGGGTTGAGTTTAAATTTTTTGCAAAATAAGTTTTATCACCGTATTTTTTTGTTAGATCTTATCTCAAGCGTGTTTATTAGTAATACAATAAAATATATTTGATTATATATATAATATACATACGTAACGATGCAAAACCTAAACACTTAAATTACGAACTGTTTAGAGTTACGATGCAAAACCTAAACACTTAAATCACGAACTTTTTAGTGTTACGATGCAAAACCTAAACACTTAAATCACGAACTGTTTAGAGTTACGATGCAAAACCTAAACACTTAAATCACGAACTGTTTAGAGTTACGATGCAAAACCTAAACAGTTAAATTACGAACTGTTTAGAGTTACAATGCAAATCCTGAACACTTAAATCACGTTTATTGAAACAACTTTCTTCATGATAGATGGTACAAAAATGAAGGAGGACGACCGATTTCCGTGGATCTAGACGGAAGAGTCAGCCAAGTGAGTGGATCTTTGTACTTCCGAAGAACTTACTTCCAGGACACAGGGTCTTACGTCTGTGTTGTTACAAACAGCGTCGGAGAACAAAGAATGGACAGCACACTTAGTGTTACAGGTAAAGTAGTAGCCTTGAAGTTATTGCTCCTCAACTAAACATGGCCTGGATATTTAGGACGCTTGATTCGAAATCTGATGATCGCGGGTTCGAATCCCCGTTACCAAACATACCCGCACTTATTAATACACACACACACACACACATGTATTTATACACGGTCATGACTCATAGAGGGGAGCGTGGCCTAGATGTTAGCGTACCGGTCTGTAAATCATAAGACCCATGGTTCGCGTCCTGTTGTAACAAATTCGCGCTCCCAGCTTTTTTTTTGGGGGGGGCTGGTGATTAGGGCGCTCGAGTTGCAATCTGAGGGTCGCGGGTTCGAATCGAATCGCCGTCACAGAGCATGCTCGCCCTTTCAGCCGTGGGGTGTTATAACGCTACGGTCAATCCCACTATTCATTGATAAAAGAGTAGCCCAAGAGTTGGTGTTGAGTGGTGTTGAATATATCTCAGAGAAGGTTGTAGTTAGAAGGCTTGCCTATCAGATTGAACTACTACTACTACCATCATCAATAGGTAGTTATCGCAATGGGAGAAAAACATAGTTTAACGCTGCTGAGTTCGCAGCTGATACATGAGAAGACTTTGAAATTGGCACCCTGAAAATACCTTTAGATTTGGAAGATGCCTATAATGGAGTTCAGATGCACATGTTTGCTAAAAAAAAATGCTCAGAATAAACATGGGTGCAATATGTGTAAGATGGAACGTAACAGAACGTGCATTATGAAGTATGGGAGATGGCAATCAGATTGTATCACCACCAACACTGGTCTGTCTCAATGACCACCACCAATACTGGTCTGTCCTTCCTCTTCAAGACCTACACCATGGATCTAGCTTACCTTGACGGTCCAACCAGATGACGTGTGCTAACCTTTGCTGATGACAGCAGAGACTGTCATATCTGAAATCGAAAAAAGATTCTACCTTCCATTAACAGGATGAGAAAATGGTGCAATTTCACAGGAACGTCATAAATCCTGCCAAAGCCATGTTCTGCAAACATAACAACAGATATGTTGATGAGGGCAAACTATCACCATCTTTTGCAGCCATTTCAATATCTCTTGAAGAAACACTGAAATACTTGGGAGGGGGATCCTCTTTGACGGACAACTCAGCTTTACCCAAATTAACACGATGATAACCAAAATTGTCAAAGGCATCAATACACTGAAAGTTTCAGTAGGAAATAGAGCCAACGAACTTCTCCTGCTTATGCTCTACCAAAGTCTCATTTGCTATTACTGATAATCAGTGTGAGCGTTACAAAGTTAGATCCGATTAAAAAGATACAAAACATCTGTTTAAGACAGGTCACAAGGCGTACTTCAGCTACCCAATCAAAACACTATAACACTTCACATGGCCCAGCAAGTAACACCTCGGAGCACCAAAAGCGCTTATAAAAATGTCTTCACTATGGCCTACCAGTGTGAAGACTATGCTTTTCATCATTGAGCCACTGACCCTTACAACTGAGAAATTCCAGTTCCAAAATGACTCGGCAGACATTAACTAAGCAGGGAAGATTGCTAAAATATGTATCAGCTGACAGTCATCACCAGATCTTAGACTTTCCCAAGTGGAATAAACATTAGATTCTACTTGGATCTATGGAAACCAGCCTAGACAGAACATGTAGAGCTTGGGAAGGGAGTGAAGCACAAGAAGCTTGTCAGTGTTTATTTAAATACCATAGTGGACAGTCACCTATCATCATAGCCACAATGGTTCCAACACAAAAGATAGCAAGGGAGCTAGTTAGGTATTCATCGTCTCAGGGAGCTATAAGGCTGGTGGAGTATTCAATGTCCCCACAAGCAGCACAAAGCCGGATCTAGAAGCCAGCAATAAGGCTGGTGGAGTATTCAATGTCCCCACAAGCAGCACAAATATGGATCTAGAAGCCAGCAATAAGGCTGGTGGAGTATTCAATGTCTCCACAAGCAGCACAAAGATGGATTTAAAAGCCAGCAATAAGGCTGGTGAAGTATTCAGTGTCCCCACAAGCAGCACAAATATGGATTTAGAAGCCAGTAATAAAGCTGGTGGAGTGTTCAGTGTTCCCACAAGCAACACAAAGATGCATCTGGAAGTCATAAAACAAGTTTCTTATTTAGATTGCTGAAAGCAACGAACCAAAAATATACAGTTCCACTAACATAATATTTGCGAATGCCTGAGAGGCAGTATTGCATAAAATTCAGATTGGTTAGACCCCTGATAGATGACAAAAAAACAAACAAAGAAGGTGAATATTAAGGCCATTACCAGGCCAGGCAAAGGAAAAGTTAAACGAGGAAGCTGAAAAAGCACCTTTATCAAATCTAGTACAACTCTACTGGCAGGATACCAAATTCCTCTTCGCCCGTAAGATGAAAACGACAAACATGGGATGTCTTCATTGATATTCAGGGGGAATGAGAAACGAATAATCGTGTGGTGGAATCAAAAGAAGCAAGAGATGGGGAATCAATATAACAGTATTTAGCCAGCGGGCCACTGATAACATCTGTAAACGAACTCTCTTGAGACGAAGTTGATCTTCAGGCGAGGAGCCAGCGACTGTCGGCGCAACCCCTAGGGTTGTTCCCCAGTGTTCAACTATTTTCATCGTCTTAGATTTAATACTTACTGTTAAGATCCTTCTGTCAAAATCAAAGTAAAATCAAATCTAAAGCTAATACAAAAGCGACAACTTTCGGTTCATTAGAGATTAAGTGAACTTTAACTTTTAACCAATTAAACAAGTATTTCAAAACTAGCTCTGTCACGGGGCGTCCTCTATGTTTTAAAAGTTGACAAGAATCAACAAATATAGATATCATGGGCGAATAGAATTAAAAGTGACATTGGGGATTAAAAGATTTATTTATTATATTATATTAATGATCTCTTTTCTTACAAAAAATTATTTTTTTAAATAAGTTAAACTTTAAAAAAAGTGCATATATTTTTCGTCAAAGCAAATTAACAGTCCTGTTTGTATGATTACACGCTTTGATTAGATGCTCAAATTCCTTATGATTTTAGAGGCTTTAATGAGACCTGACGACTCTTGAAACTTAACAAGTATTTCTTTATATCAAATGTTAAAAACAGTAAGTAAGAAATATGTTTTATTAAGTGAAGAGTATAAAAATATTAATTTCTATTTCCTTTTTCTACATTACGATATCAGCATTTTAAGCTAAGTATCATTCTTTCATTACTTTAGTTCCCCTACAGGCTTTTATTGGGCCAAAACGACTCCTAGTTGATGCAGGGAGCTCTGTAACTCTAACGTGTAACGTTACTGGTTATCCAATAGAAACAATTTACTGGATGAAAAACCAACGCCATCTGGCGGTTGGAAATAATAGAGTTAGAGTACTTTCCCGCCATACACTACACCTTACTTCGGTGAAAAGAGAAGATAAAGGGGTGTATCAGTGCTACTCCAGAAACAAGGACAGCTCCACTCAAGCTTCTGTCGAACTGATGTTGGGAGGTAACTATTGCAAACTTTTTTTTAGCTTTTGTTATAAATCAAACTTAAACTACGTGTTTGATAATAATAGTTGGAGTGAAAGAATGTAATATTTTATTTTGTTTCTTTTTTTACACAAAAAGAGGCGGGCGTGACCGAGTGATAAGCGTGCTGGGTTGTCGATCAGATGAGCACGGTCCACCTTTCATCTTTGGACTCGTTATTCGTTTCAAACAAAGCCATTTTGGCGGTGGATGCTATTGACTGCCTGTCTACCTACTCTCTCGTGGTAGCTCAGAAATGAGAACGGCTATATCTCAGTCCTAAGGGTCTCTTATCTTGCCCTTTAGTCCGCATGCGCGTAAGATGCTAATCAGGTTGAAAATACCAATAATACATAACAAAGATTTTAAAACGGCATGCTTTACGTAAAAGTTTGATTTTGCTAAAATGATCCTCAAAGCTAACGTTTAGTTTCAAATCTTCCTATAATTAACGATGTGTAGCCTTGAGTTTGTTTGTTTTGGAATTTCGCGCAAAGCTACACGAGGGCTATCTGCGCTAGCCGTCCCTAATTTAGCA